GAGCTTCTTTTTGAATCCAAGTTTATGCAAATAGTTTCAAACGGTTTTCTAGCTTATATTTAGTTCCTCAGAAATGAAATAAGTGCTCACGTGACGGTCTGCTTCCACTGTTTCCATGATTTTATCGCAATTTTCGACGACAGGCCTCCGGACGCGTGGTGCATCTTTGACATCAAAATTACCGGATCGGAACCCAGCAAGCCATTTTTTGGAGACAAATTCCTTTACACTATTGGGCACATAAACTAAATGAATGTTTTCAGCCGCTTTGCCTGCTTTTTCGCCTTGATCGAAGACAAATTGTAAAATATAGCGGATTTTCTCTTTGACGAGCGCCCACGACGTACTGAGTCAATCAATCGAAAAACTGTCAAAGAAAAATTTTAAGTGTGAATAAACACGTTATCAGCGCCGTTTAGTATGAGATGATGCGACACGTAACACTAGTACTATGGACAATAAGGCCATCTCTTCGATAAAAACCGAACGAACTTCGTTCAACGCTTGTGATATCCATCTTAAACGTAACGAATATGATCGAAAACGATCATGGGCCAAGGACAAATTAAATGTATCCTGGAACGAGAAGCGGTCAAAATTGGTCCGAAAGGTATCACATTTCAGCAGGACAATGGTATACCAATACAAATCTTTGGGCACTCGCAAAGAAACTGAGAGAGCTTGGCTGGGCACTGTTGATGCATTCACCATTAGCCCTGACGGCCCTGGAAGTCTTCGAGAAAGCAGTTTTTTTTAAAGATTTATGGTTCATTTCGCGTTGGTTACGACGCATATCGCAGTCAAAGGTACGATGACCTGTACGAGTTATACTCGTACGATGGCATTGATATTGTTCAGAGAATGTCGTCCATGTGAATAACAGCACTCCAGCTATGAAATTATTTAATGCAGCACCCGCCGATGGAGGCCGAGGCCGAGGAAGAGCTCCACTTCATTCAAAAGGATCAGGTGGAAGGCGAGCTCGCTTCACTTGGTATTTCCTACAAGCGCCAAACAACGAAGAGAAGAACCGAATGCCGCGCTAACGCTTAACAGCAAACAATAACTGTGTAAAAAGAAGAAGAAGAAGAAACTAAATCTGCAGAATTACATATTTTCTAAAGTGTTTACTTTCTTGATAGCAGCGTTATAAGTGCTTACATACACACTTTATGTATATTTAATTTAAATATTTTTTATATTAAAAAAAAAAGTTTTTTAAATAAAAAAAATATTTACAGATTTTCTACGCAGAAAACGTATGAAGAACATTAAAATTTATTCGAGGCAATTTTTCTTTCAATATTAATGATTTTTTAAAAGACTTATTGACCTCACTTAAGGCGCATTTTTGAGGGTTAAAAGCGAGAAAATGACGCTGACAATTTGATGACACCATAAATTTTGTATTATTTCCATCTTTTGTTAAGATGCAAAGAAAAATAAGACATTACATACATACATACATATACATAAATACATAAATAAAATAAATGTGTGTAGACAACTGATAAATGCACTGACTAACGGCATCTTAATCAAAATGACCATCCTGATTTGACAGTGACATAAAGTGGCTCATTTCAGAGGGTGTGTTTTTGTGCCACCGAAAGAAAAAAATTGAAAATAGAAGAAACACAGAGAGGCAGAGAAAGAAATACGCAGGAAATTCGTAAAATAAAGTGATAAAGTGTGTGTTATTAGCGAAGAAGCTTCTCCATCTTAAGTGGCATATTTATTGCCGTTGTCAACTTAAGGCTTGATAGCAACATGTCACATGAGTCGAAATCACAACCGTTATTGGCATTGAAGGAGCTTTAAACTTGTTGTTTTTTTTATTTTTTATTTTTAATTTTTTTCAAGGAGTGGAGTAGCAGAAAATGCTATTTTCTTCACTTGAAATCAAGTTAAATTAAATTAAATAAAAATAATATTAAAATAGGTTTGAGTAAATTTATAAAAGTGAGAGAGATTTTGAGTCATGGGAAAAACAATTTCCGAAGAATATTTCAAATTTAAGCTTACAGTCGCAGGGCTATACTCAATCCCTACTCTTCTGCGTCAAAAAGGTGAGGAAACTTAATTGCCAGAGTCACTTTGAGGTATTTGATTTAAGGCCAAGTTCGTCTAGGAAATTTAAAAAAAATCTAAATTTTGTTTTCCTGTAAATGATAGCAACTACTCTCAGAAATAATACAGAATTAGCCCCAAAGAACCGCAAGACCAACAGGTAACTACGGAGAGCAGAGTGCGCCAAGCGGTTAGTCCAGCCGCTCGCGTACTTTATCACCTTTTTCTCGAAACCACGTTTTTTCCACTGGGTGGCACTCTTATTCATATAAAATCTATTGAACTTGAGCTGGCCTCCTTAAGGATACACTAAATTCTAACTATACACCCAAAGCTGAGCGGGCGTCTGTCTCGAAGCGAGTTCCTCGCTATTATTCGCGCATCGAAGTTATGATTTGGGTTAAGGGCCATAAAAAGAAATATTGCTTCGGGTGAGAGCTTCCAATTTCTACGGCAAACATATTGAGGACAAAAATTTATCCGGCTCCTTAATTTCTTTGACATCCCCACCGATCCAGAAGATGCCCTGAACGGGAGAAGGACAGAAGGAGATACGTCTTCGCGGCATTTATTACAGTCGCCATATAAACTAGCGCTAATTTGATGCCCGAATTGATGGTAAGAGAAAGAGAGAGAGAGAGAGCCAGTCACCAAAGCGAGATTTTCTAACATAGCAATCAATTGCGTCCAAGCTCGTAGGAAATAGAAGAACGATGTGTGCAAAGGTGCTTTCTATGCGCATTTTGTCAAAATCGTTTTAAGCGATTCGGAAGCAACGTGAGCCAAGATAACTTTTTCGGCACAACAGCCGAAATATTTACCCTTCTTGAGATGCCCAAATGGGTTAAGTCGCAAAGAATTTGCCGTGCCCAAAGTATGCTCTTTTGTAGTACCAAATTCCGACGTAAGTGAATTTATCAAGCTACATGGATGTTCTCGACAACCTCCTCACCTAATCGGTCATGTTGAGGCAGCCAGAAGACAAGCCCCCTGTGTTCTAGATGTGCGTACAAGGCCACACGGGCATTGAAGGTAACAAGGAGGCTTACAAGGGTATCTCTTTAGAACAGTAACGAACCGTCCATTGCTATTTAGGGAAATATGTAAAAGAATGAAGCAAAACTACTTCATCAGGCGAATAGACTAGACTCTGCAGCCATTTGCAAATCGAGAAAACTATGTGTAAAACTAAACTTAAAAAGTACAAACACTGTCAAGAAGCCGGACCCAAGGTAGCGGATAGGACTATTGGCGGGGCATTGCCTCTTGATGTCGCAAGCTTTTGATATAAGTCTGACTGGGGATAACAAGCCCATGTCATGTGGTGTGGTGACAGTGGATCACGTAATCTACGAGGGTCCGGCAGTCGGTAGACAAAGTCTGTGCCTACTAGGCGCGGAAAAACTACAGGCTCTATAATGACAGGCTCAATTGACGAAAAGAACAGCACACAAGAGACGCAATAGAAGTGTAGCAGTGCAGCTTGGTCGCATGTAGTATGTCTGGAAGCACTATGGTTGCATTATCTTTCATCGATCAGCCAGCTCAACCCAACCCTACCTAACGATCCGAGGGGAAAATTGTCACAGCCAAGATACGAACCCGCGCCTCCGCAGTTAAGAACGACCATCAACAAAGGTTAGACGTCGTATACTCCTGCTCTTTAAAAGTACAACTCGCTCTCAGTGAACTGTGGGACATTTCAGGCTCACTGAACACACAGGCAGCAACGAAACTATTGCTATTTGACAGAGTCGAAAGAGGAGCAGGTACGATGAGGAATATCATTATGTTCGACCGTTAGTTCCAGTTTCTCTAGACTCAATATGAAAGCGGTGCTAAATGGTATAGTAGTGAGCGAGGAATGAGAGAAATATATCCTTTCCTGTCCTATCTGGGTGGCCATAACTTAGAAATATTGATAAATAAAGCAGCATCTTTCTCCTTCGATAGGCCCGGGACTTTTCAGCGCATGCGTTAATAAATCTCATATTAAAAGCATTCCTTATCAAAAATAAATTCTATAGTCTTCTATCTTTAATTTCAAGTCCCATTTCTCATCGCCCCACTACTTAACCTCACACTTTCCACGCGGGAAACGAAAAAATCCCAGCGTCATCGTATTGATTGTGATTGATTGCGGTGTGCGTTGGTGACAAAGTTATGTCACAAAAGGGACAGTCGGCGAATGAACAAAGAAAAAAAAAGCGCCAACAGCACACAAATATAGCAACAAAAAGTGGGTGATTAATGTAGGTATATAAGTACATAGTATATGTATGTATGTATGTATGTATATAAGAAAATTAATAAAAAAAGACCTTAAACTCTTGCTACCATGGACCGATTACTTCCTTAAAAGTAAAATTAATGCGTAAACATAACCAAGGTATACATACATCCACACATATGTATGTACACACATATTTGGCTGCCCGTATTTCGCATCTTTCGCAACTTGTGTAACCGCTAAGGGCAAAAGAAAATTTCAATTCCAAGCAGAAGGGTAAATCAAAAAGGAAATCCAAATCGTACCGAAGTGGTAGCCTTGCATATCGCGCTCGAATAAGAAACCGAAACACAGCATACAATGAGCGCAAGGAAGTAGCATTCGGAAGTGACTACTTGCCCGGCCACCGTCTTTGTTTTTTCTTATTTTTTTTCGATATAAACATTCATCACGTTTTTTATTTTTAATAAATATTTGTCAGCCTTTTGGGTGACATTAGCGACAAATAAATCGCTTGTAGCTTAATAGGATTCGGCAAAGCGAAAGGACTCACCTTTTATGATTTACATAAGTCGTTATAAAGGGTCAAATTTATGCACTACATTTTTCTTCTTTTTCCATCTTTTTCTTTTTTTCATCGCAAACACACACATCATTGAATAAATAAAATGATTTTAAGCAAATTTATTGCTTGACTTACTTGCTAAAACCTTTGTAGACTGTGGCATATGAACCTTCGCCGAGTGGCTCCAGTTTTATGTAGGCATCTGATTTTCCAAATGGCGAGTCGCCCTGTAAATAGCAAAAAAAAAAATAGCATTTCTTAGAATAAAAATGTAATGAACCCATACAGTGCTTAATAACGCCTAAAAGTATGCAAGAGCTATAGCTTGAAGGCAAGAAAGCAAGCGCATACACATGGATGTACATATGTATGCGCGAGTAGGCATGGCAATGAAATATATACACATGTTTCTGAATTAATTTTTTTAAATAAATAACTTTTGTAATAAAACATACAAATTTAAATAAAAATTATAAATAATTATTAAAAATTAAAAAAAAATTAATAATAATTAAACAAAAAGTTTACAGATTAAAAGAAAATATATAACAATTAAAAAAAATATATAAATAATAAAAACACTACAAATATTTAAAAAAGAGATATAACAGTTACAATAAGAAATATTAGAAAAAAATATACAAAAATTAATATAAAAAAATAATTATTATTTAAAAAAACTATAAAAATTAAAAAAAAAACTCTATAAAAATTAAAAAAAAACTTATAAAAATAAAAAGAAAATATATAACAATTAAAAAAATGTATGAAAACTACAAAACAATGAAAATTAAAAATAAGAACATATAAACTAAAATAAGAAATACAAATATTAAAATAAATGAATAAAAATTAAAGATATATATATAAAAATTAAAAAAAGTATATATAAATTAAAAGAAAATATAGAACAATTCTAACAAATTATATAATATATAAAAAAAATTTAAAAAGAAATATATAGAAACAAAAATATAAAATATATACATATTTGTGTATAAAAATTAAAAAAAATATTAAAAAGATTTATAAATATTAACAATATTTAAAACAAATATATAAATATGGTAAAAATACATATCTAATTAAAAAAATTTATATGTATAAAAATTAAAACAAACTACATAAAAATTCAAAAAAATATATATGTAAAAATTTAAAAAAATTATAAAAGAAATTAATAAAATAATTAATAAATTAATATATAAATATTAAAACAATAAATAAAAATAAAAAAGATATATAAATATTAAAAATATAATATAAAAACAAATTAGAAAAGGTATAAAAAATTAAAAAAAATATATTTAAATTATTATAATTATTAAATAAATACATATATTTACATAATTTAAACAGAAAATATAAAAATTATAAAAAATATATATATAAAATCAAAAAAAAGGTATAAAAAATAAAATAAGATATACAAAAATTAAAAAAATATATATAAATAAAAAATTATATAAATGTTAAAAAATTTTATATTATAAAAATTTAAAAAATTTATAAAAATTAAAAGAAGAAAACAAAAATAAAAAAATTGAAATAAGAAATACATAAATAAAAAAAAATAATAAATAAATATAAATAAATAAATAAAAAAATTATATAATGTTAAAAAATATATATATAAAATTAAATAAAAATTTATATAACTCAAAATAAGAAATATAAAAATTAAAAAAGTATATATATAAATCTAAAAAAATTTTATAAAATTAATGTAAGAAATATATATTAAAATTTAAAAAGAAGTATATAGAAATGTTCAATTAAAAAAAAAAAATAAATAAATAAAAATTAAAAAAAAATATATGTATAAATTCAAAAAAAAAATTAAGAAAAATAAATTTTTTCAAATGAAATGAAAACTGAAATCGTAATTAATTCTTTATATTCTGACATACATACGAATGCACATATACTATTAAAAACATTCCTTGACGAAAACTATAATTTCGATAAAAGTGTGCAAACGCACTGTTAGGAGCGTCGACAACTCGTTGGTATATCCTTTTCCATCCAGTGGGGTGCCACGACGGTGAGACATTTAACTCACCATTATTATTTTTAAATGCATTCAATATCGGGACCTTCAATACGTCAGCGTAAACCAACGCAAGAGTCCCATCAAGATAAATTCCAAAGAGATCAAAAATATATTTGCATAGACAAATATATGACTGTATAGTCATTCTCAACTCAATTATATGTGGAGTGTTAAGAACCAGTTGAGAATTGAACACAATTAAAAGTTAAGCAGACGCGATGGAATGAAAATTTACTACAATGCTGCTTTTGATGTTGTTGTTTTTTACCAGCACTTTATTTTAGTGGTTGTTTAATGTGTGACGTCACCAACGCAGAACAGAAACAATGTGACTGGCACAGAGGGCAAATATCTGATGAACAGGGTGGCGCAAGTGGAAATTTTTTTTGAACAGGATAATCGAAGTGTGCGGCAGTTAAACTCATATGTACATACATACATATGTGTATATATTGATTAATCACCAAAGCATTTTGCATTCAAAAATGATTAAGGTAAAATTATTATTTGATAATACGTTTTCTTTTCTTGACTTCAGTTTACTGTTGTAGAAATTTCCATTAAAGAAAAAATATAGAAAAATAAAAAAGTCTCCGTGGCTTTGACATTGGATTTGCTGATATTCTTATACATACACACATACATATGTATGTACGTTTAATTCCCTTACAAAAATTTTGACGACAAAGATGCAACTCGTTTTGTGCGTTCAATCATTCAAAAAGCCAATGAAATTCTGCAACTGGTGAAGCAACCTGACAAGAGATAGCGAAGGTATTACGCATAATTTATGAGACAGTTTGGAATTATTTAAAAAGGCTGACTACTCAAAGAAGCTCCACATACATATCTACATGTGGAATTTAACTCAAAAAATTTAATTGACTGAATTAATATCAGTGAAACGCGATGAAATCGAACTACATACGAGGGGATTAACAAAAGTTCGATCAGTTGGTGAATTACAATAAGTTTTTGTTAAATTTAAAAATACTAAAACCTCTAAAATTTCAGAACTATCGGCTAAAATGGAGACGAGAAATCGCAACATAGCTGAGGATTGGTCAGACGATATTCCACCACCGACACAAACAGAAATTCGTCAAAGGATTCTCTTCGTGTTTCGGCGTACTTTACAGCCAATACAAATATTCAGTGAATGTCAAATTGCATATGGAACGATTGTACAGTCTTTGCATACTACTTCCACGTGGTTTCGAAGATTCCAGTCTAGCAATTTTAGTAAAGTCGTTAGTGGTGACGAATCTTGGTTCTTTAAGTACGATCCAAAAATCAAACAGCAGTCTATGGTATGGAGCCCTACAGTAGTTGCTATTCCACTGGAAAAGGGTCCAAGGGTAAATGCTAAATGGCACACCGAAGAGTGATTATCAAAAGTTAATTAAGATAGAGGATTTGCGGCGCTACTTTTTTACATCATGACAACGCGCCATTCCACACTGCTGAAGTAAGAAGTAATTTTAATACAGTCTCTGGGATAGAAGAAATAAGTCTAGAACCATACTCCCCGGATTTAGGACCTTGTAATTTCTGGTTATATACAAAAATTAAAAAATTTATAGGAAAGGTCTTTAATAGCAACGAGGAGATTATTAATGCGGTTTATGCTGATCTTGATAAGCTTTAAAAGCAAGATTTTGAAGACTGTTTTCAGAAGTGGATCTATAGGCTTAAGAAGTGCTTTGAAATCTATGGCGATTATGCAGAGAAGATAAAAAAGCACGAAGATTACGAATAAATACAAAGAAGAATTTCTTTCTTGGTCAACTTAACGAACTCATGTTAAACCCCTCGTACGTATGTATTTCAGAAGTGACTCAATTGGGGAGGTGAAAAATGGTTTCCAAACGAGTGTACAATAAAAAACAACCAAGTTCAAAGGCCAACCACCAAAGGCCGCGAAGCATGAATTAACTGCAAGTAAGATTTTACTGAGTGTATGATGGGATTGGAAGGACTTTGTCTGTTATGAGCTACTAAAACCTGACGAAATGATCAATTCTGAGCTCTATTGTCGACAATCCATCAGTTTTTCGGAAAAATTCAAATCAGATCACATAAGTACATTCTTGAAAAATGACGAAGCTTGATTTTGAAAGTTTTCATGCACGCATCATGTAGCCTGGACCTTGCACCATCCAACTACCATTTGTCTCGATCTCTGCAAACCTATTTTAATGCCAAACAAATTGGCAGCCGAAGAGCCACTCGCCATTTGGCCAAGTTTTACGTCATTAAAGCCGACTGAAGCTACTCGAAAACTCATTAAAGAAAAAATTCGGAGAATTTTCTAGTTATCCAATAAGTATACATCTTTACAGCGCGTAGAATTTGGAAATTTGGTGCAAAATACTTTTGTGAGTTTCTGAATTTTTTTTCTCTTTTTTTTTTTTATTTGCACTCTTTTTTCTCAGCATATTCCGCAGTGATTAGCATTGTATGGCAATAAAGAGCGGATTTATAGTTTTTCATTGCATTTAATTGTCACAAAAGTGGACAAAAGTGGGAGTGATAACAAAGGACAGCCTGCTGAAATTTTATTTCGACAGTTAATGGAAAAATATGGAATTTTTGTTTTCTTTATAAAAAAAAAAGTTTTTTTTGCAGTTTTCTCTTATTTGTTTTTCCTTTCCTTGCCACGTTGCTTAATATGTACATTTACTACTGCATCCTATTTACCCATGCATACTATATACATACATACAATATGTATGTATGTATTAAATATATACGAATATGTATTTGTACTTACGCCAAATGCACTAAACCGTTTCCGTCGTGGATGCGGGTCCTGTTTGTTAAGGAAGACCTCCGATTTAGGTCTGGGCGGCTTCTTCGGGCGCATAATAACACGCGTTTCCTCTCGTATATCATCGTCCAGTAATTTGCTATCGGATGAAACGGACAATTGCCGTTGGACGCGATCATGGTGGTCGGTGCTGTCAGTGCTACGCCAGTCTGAAAAGGACAATAAAAGAACACAACAAGAGAAGAGATTAGCTAGGAAATGCGAAAAGGCATAACAATTGCTGTCACAAGCAGCTGTAAAGTTGTACAATTAGTTGGTAGGACAAATGTGCCGAGAGAGAAGTTTTGAAAACAGTTGGCGAATAAGAAAGTATAACAAAAAAAAAAAATTAAAAACATATTTCTTTTGTTGAATTAAAGTGCTTAAAAATGCATACATGCAGGGAATAAGTAGAGGAAATATAGAATGTAAATAGAAAATATAAAAACAAGGACTCTCGATTTAATATGTATAGTTCGAGCGTCTTTCGGGCTTTAAAAGTGAGCCAAAATAATTTCGAGATCAAATAAGACTTCTTACTTACATTTTTTTTGTAAAAAATCTTTTTATTTTAAAAAACTAGTAAAAATTAAAAAAAAGAATAAAATATAAATATTACAAAAAAAAAAAGGTTTTAAAAATAAATATTTTTATATAAATATTACTTTTATAAGAAAAAAATTCTTTTATTAAAAATTATTTAAAAAAAAATATTTTCATAAAACAAATTTAAAAATACGTTTTCATAAAAATATTTATTTAAAAAATTATTATTACAAAAAAAAAAAACTTATTAAAAAAAAAAAATATTTTTTCTGAAAAGAGAATTATAAAAGAAATAATTTTTTCAAAATAAATTATTCTCTTAAAAATTTAATTTATTTTAAATTAATTTAATAAAAGACATAAAAAAAATTATTACTTCAAATTATTATAATAAAAAAAATTCTATAAAATAAAAATTATATTTGTAAATAAAATTATTTTTATAAAAAAAAATTTCATACAAAACATCAAAGAAAAAAACGCTTTCATAAAAGAAATTATATAAAAAAAATTTAATTGTAATATAAAAAGTTATTCCTGTTAAAAAAAATATTAAACAAATAGTTTTGTGCCATAAATAATGATAAAAGAAATAATTTTTATAAAAAAAACTTATATTCATAAAAGACTTAATTTCATATGATTCATAAAAAATATTACTTAAAAATATTTTTATAAAAAAAAAATTTTAATATTAAAAACTATGTGTTTTTATAAAATAATACTCATTTTTATAAATAAAATTATACGAAATCGTTTTTATAAAAAAAAAAAAAAATTTATTATTTTCATAAAAATTATCAAAGAAAAAAGTTTTCTTAATAAAAAAATGATTAAAAAATAAATTTTATGAAAAAAATTATTTTCATTAAAAATATTATTTTTATAAAAAAAATATTAAGAAAATATTTTTATGAAAAAAGAATTATTAAGGAAATTATTTTTATAAAAAAAATATTAAGAAAATATTTTTATGAAAAAAGAATTATTAAGGAAATTATTTTTATAAAAAGAAAATTATTCTCATGAAAAAAACTTTTTTTTAAATATCACAAAATATGAAAAAAATTATATCTTACAATTTAAACAAAAAAAATCCAATACTAACTATGTATTTTTATAAAATAAAAAATAGTTTTATAAATAAAATTATTTTCTTAAATAAAATTACTTTTATAAAAAGGAATTATAAAAGAAATTATTTTTACAAAAAAGAATTTTCTTATAAAAAAAATATTTTTTTTAATTGTCTCATAAAATGCATAAAAAATTATTACTTACAATTATTATTAAAAAAAAATATATTCAAAACAATATATTTTTTAAATATAAAAATTATTTTCGTTAATAAAATTATTTTTATAAAAAAGAATTATAAATAAAAAAAAAGATATTTTTATAAAAAGAAATTATAAATAAATTATTTTTATAAAAAAAACTGTTTAATAATTAAAGTTATTAAAAAAATTATTAAAAAACAAAAAAAAAATATAAAAAAATCATTTTTATAAAAAAAATCAGAGATTCTCGCATGAACGACATTAGCTAAAAAAAAAATATTCTAAAAAAATTCAACTTTGCGGCGAGCGGGACTCGAACTCGCGACCACTAAAGCCAGCAATTGACAAATACTGCTTGATTCTACGCAAACAACTGTGTACTGAAGTACCCTAGAACGATACCGAGTAGTTACGAAACAAGATAAAAAAGAACCGAGTATTTCGCTGTTAATAAACTATACAAATAATTTGAAATACAAAAATATTCACAAAAACGTTTTTATAATGAAAATAATTTAAGAATTTTTTTCATATTTTTTTCATATTATACATGACTGTAGAGGTTTTCCATTATCAACCGAAATTTTTTCGCTCACTCTTGCAATGCTAGAGCCACTTTAAACGAATTTAAACATTTAAAACAAACAATTGTGCATAAAAAAATACATTCAGACCGCAGCGTTAATTTATATTCTCCACCACGAATTGTGCTGCAAGCTATGTATGTATGTATGTATGTAATGTATGTATGTAGCATAACCTATTTTCGAGCCGGTAAAATGTTGTGGTATCCTGCCACAATTTAAGTGACGGAGCTTAAAGTGATTGCCGTTGTGTGTGAAAAGAGAAAATTCAACTATAGAAATACAATACAAATAATCCACAGTTATATCCGCCTCAATAAGAGGCAGCAGAAAGAATTATCATTTCCAGTATCCGGAAGTACAACGGAGGATGGGATTGGAACGCCAAGCGCCGTGCAGCGTACTTGACTTAAATTTCGAATAACTAAAGTAACTAAAGCAGAAATGTAAAAAAATTGTAGAAAATTCACTGATAGATATACACTTACCCACATGTGTATGTATCTACACGTATGTATGTTTACCTCTATGCAAAAAGAATTCCGTGAAAATGCAGAATTTTTATGAAATCTCCCGCTCCTTCACCAACCAAATCAAAACTAACATTGCAGGCACTTTTTCATGCTAATAACCATAACATACATTTGTATGTATGCATGTAAGTAACTATGTACACCCGCAACTAATTGTATCTATGCAAGTTTGCCATTAACGAAGGACGCAACACCGAAAGGATGTCAGCGAAAGTAGTAGCCAAGCAAATGTTGTAACGCCACAACGAGAACATTCATTTTGCATGCCACAATTTATACAGTAAATAGAAAAAGGTTACGTTCGAAAGGAAAAGAAAGAGAGCGAAAAAAAGTCCAACGACAAATAGGCAAGAGCCAAATTGCAGCAACAACGATGGCGACGACGACAACACGACTGGGGAAACGTTGAATTAGAGCAAAGCTGTGCAAAAGTTGGTCTAGGACATAACGAATAATCGTGACGTAGGAATAAGCGCACATACATACATCGTTTGTATATATCCAGTAAAAATGTATACATATATATGTATATCAGCACATGTAGTCATATATAAGAAGTTTAACATAAATGCGCTTGTGTGTAAATATGTATTTAAATGTAAATACAAACATACATACACGTATGTATATATGTATGTATGTATTTAGCTATCAAAAAGATAGCAAATTTGCAAACCACCAACGATAAGGCCACACCTAGCATACACACCTTATAACGGAAAAATGAATGCGTACAGGTAAGACAACATAGCAATTGCCACTGTGTGCGCCTAAAAGTATGCATGGAGATACTCTAACGAGCTTATAACCAAGTGAATGGCGTTTGTGAGTGACTCATCGTGTATGAATTTTCTCTGCTTGCTTATGTTTACAAATGCATATATATTAATATGTATGTTTGTTTACGTTCATACATTCATATATGCATGCACATGCATATATATTAATATGTATGTTTGCTTACAGTGTGTTATAAGCTAAGCGGATATAATCAGAGGAGATATACTTTTTTGACTATGAATTAAAAGCGAAAATATGTACATATGGAGATTTGGAGAAAGAAAACAAAACACCGGTGGTTTGTAGCCATCTGTAATCTGCGAGAACTGTTTGAAGACACTACACTGCCATGTCCAGAGAGTATTACACAACTTTAAGCAAATATTTATATATATTATATTATGCGTACAAGCCATGCTCCGGTCGTCCAGAAGAACAGACGGAATTATATGGTACGAAAATAACTGGAAAGATATGGATTACACGGTAGAGTTGCATGAAGCAAATCGCAAGAATAAACAAGACGTCAGTGTTTTGGAACAGCGTTATTTTATTTCAGATGACGACAAAGATTTCAAAAGACAAAGAAAGTAAGATTGTTCGGGGGAAAGCAGACCAGCACAGGATAAACGAATTCTAATACCTCTAAAACAGGCTTGAAAGATCCACTCGCCACGACACATTCTTATCCAAGTACTCTACACTGAAAAGATTTTGTTCTCATGTTTCGTGTTTTTGTTGCGGGAGGTGGATCAGTGATCAGTGAGAAATAATTAACGTGCGATTGCCTTGAAATTTAGTGCGATTCAGAGAAAACATTACGTTTAGTTCAACTTGAACAATAGTCTACCTTCCGGAAATTGGCTCAGATATCGAATTGTTTGAAAAATCGTATTTATGGCTTGACGATCTATTCGATTTTGTACCGAGATTCTTCGTGATATTTTATTATTTGATTTCTCTTCTGAGTTCCACACTCTTATATCCCCTGTCAGGGAAGGCTGCAGTTAAGGATAATAGCCAGAAGGTCAATAGAAGAAGCGGACGACTACGGTTCGAGTCTGTGAGCTAGAGCTTGCATGGGAATTCGACCGAATGCAATATTAAGATGGTTCTAGGAAGATATTTATTAGGTTTATGCGTTATTTATATTATTATACCTGATAAACTATTATTTAAAAAAAAAAAAACATAAAAAAGAAGAGGTCTTCACCATATTAATGTCGGCTCAAAGCTACAGCTTTGCTATATTTAAAAATCGGTCCCAATTCCAGTTTCTGAAGGAAAAAATGTTTCCCATGTCAAATTAAGCAAAGATCTACTTACATACATATCAACCAAATTTTATGAAAATCAAACGATTCGGAGGCCACTTCTATTGGTTGGAAAAACCTCAAGAGGCAAAACACTTCACCAAAAATGTATGTATGTATGTCGTCTTGCTATG